GGGGATAAAAGGCGTGATGTTATGTTATGTTATGTTATGTATTAATATATTATAGCTAATTGGTATTTCATTTCTCTTAGTACAGGTTTTAAAAACAACTACGACTAGACACTACGCTACTTGTACAAATTCGAATCTTAAACGGAACAATTCTTCTTCAATATAAGTAACGTAATGTGCACCTCTGCCTACCCCTTCGCGAATAAAAGGCGTGATGTTATGTTATGTTATATAGAAACACTTTGATAATGGCGATGTATAATTTTTTTAAATGTTGACCATGGAATTAAATTCAGTAAGTGTGGGAAAACGCATTCACATTGTTTGGAGTTTCAGGAACCAGAAATATGATGTCACTGTGTGATATGACGTCACATAATAATATTTACATAATCATTTATATTAAAATAACAATACGACAGCCTTAGTATGTACTTAAGTACATACTAATTGCGTATATTGTAAAGTACAAGATGAACAACGTATTAGATTCATTGTTTGAATAGAGTACAAGTCACTTATTAAATAAAACCAATACATGTTTTCAACTTGAAAACATGTATTGGTACCTTGACTTGGGTTCGATTCCCGGGTCGGGCAAAGTATTACTGGGTTTTAAAAAAATTCTCAGTAGTAGCACGGGGTCTGGAATTGTGCCCAGTATATGGCAATAGGCTCACCCCTTATTACATGGGAATCATAATATAAGTAGTGAAAAGTGGGTGTTACATTGTAGTGGCATTAAGTGCCGTAATGTGCTCCTCTGCTTACCCCTTCGGGGACAAAAAGGCGTGATGTTATATTATGTTTTCAACTTCATTAAGATTTGCAAGCGTTGCTAAGGCCGATTTTTTACACTATATACCGAGGAATTATGACAGAAATCATAAGATATTTGGCAAGAAACGTCCTTCTTAAGCCTTTAAGGCAAGCTAGACTTCATAAATTATTGATTTACCACTTCGTACTTTATTTACACTACCCAAAAACTCGTAACAATGATTTTCTTAACCTAGGGATACAATCAGTGAATCTACAAGTTGGGTATTTAAAAGCAAATACATATGTATTAAATAATAATAATAAAATATGGTTCTGTAGACCTTCAAAAGTCCAATAGCCTATAAACGCTAAGACAAAATTGATTAATGTTCTGAACTGCAAAGCTTAATCTTCTAAAACTCCACCCCTTCTACATTCATCTTTTTATTTTACAAACAATCTTGATATCCCTAATCGTTTCTTTTTAGAGCTAAAGCTAAAAGCTACGCAAATTACGTGTCTGAAATCAGTACCTTGGAGTCTAAAATTGATTAATACGTCTCAACCTACGATGAGTCTCTTCTAAACTTATGAGGACCTAGTACTTTTTTCCTCTAACATGTCAAAATGTAATCAAAACTGGCGTAAACAGCCGAAAATTTAATAAATAAAACATTGAATATGTTTATTCTTTTTGTTTTTTTATAGTTAGACTGTTGCCTTGTGCTAACCCCCAAGGAAGGAGTCCTAAGTTCGATTTCGAAGCGGGCAATGTATTATAAAATTTAGGTTTTATATTTTCCAAATTCTCCGTTATCATTGCAGGCTATAAGTAACTATCTAGCAGTAACTCGCAAAAAATAATGTCACATTAAATTAAGTACTATTTTACCTTTCCCTTCAGAACTTAAGGGCTTGAAAAGCTGCATTTTTAAATAACTTTTATACATTTTTAATAGAGAATAAACTAGACACTAAATCGCTCGTGAATGGCCACAAAAGAATTCAAGTTATGTGTCCGTAGCGTTGCGTGTGCGATAAAAATGACTAATTATTTCGTCGAAGTTATTACATATTTTATGTTACATGTGTATGTGAAATTGTGGCTTCTGATTGGCTAATTAATCTGATATTAGAAGTACTGGGAATTCTTTTAGATCATGTATGGTTTAATTATAGTTTCATAATAGTTAATGGCCCGGTATACATAAGTACATATATTTATATGGCAATAGGTTCACCCCTTATTACATATGGCTCATAATATAATTGGAAAATTAAGTGTTACATTTTATATATTGACTGCCTCGTTGGCCGAGTGGTCGCAAGTGCGACTGCCGGGCAAGGGGTCTAGGTTCGATTCCCGGGTCGGTCAAAGTATTACTGGGCTTTTAATTCTCAGTAGTAGCACGGAGTCTGGAATTGTGCGCAGTATATGGCAATAGGCTCACCTATTACATGGGACTCATAACATAAATAGTGAAAAGTGGGTGTTACATTGTACAGTGGCATAATGTGCTCCTCTACCAACCTCTTCTGGGGTATATATGCCCATTGTCCGTCTGTCTATCTTCTCGAGGTCTTCTTTCTAAACGCGTATTTTTACTTTAATTATGTCATACTAGCTTCTTCTAGCGGCTTCGCGTGCGGTACCATGGGATATACGATAGCCCATGTTCGTATTAGGATTCTAGACCATAGGTAATCTACCCCTGTTCGCTTCAGCCGTTTTGACGTGAAGGAATGACAAACAAACATACTAACATTCGAATTAATTATATTATAGTATGGTGCTTACTTCTTAGTTAAATATAAGAAAACGATCGTTACTGACAATTTCACACACTTTAGCTGTGTCTGTCTGCGTATACAGAGCGTCCTTGTTGCACGCTAATATTACATAAAATTACATATTTTTATTTATTTTGTTATTTGTTTAAGTTAAACGTTGCCCCACACTAGGATTTAGTCCTGTGTCGTGGTGCGTTTACAAACATACAAGTTCACATACACATGACACCCAGACCCGGAACAACAACCTGTGGATCATACAAAGAGTTGTTTCGAGCGGGAATCGAACCTGCGACACGTTGCATGGCAGCCAGTTGACGCGGTGGTTCGGCAGCACCGCGCCAACCGTGCAGTCAATACACATAGGTACATAACTTCATGCCTTATTTGAAAGAGGTAGTGAGCAGAGTTCCATGTATTGTGATAAACCTTGTTGCATAACACTGAAAATAATTTCAGGCCTTTATAACCAAAAGTTACGAAAAACTAAAGATCTGTAGGGGTTAGATAGGTATATTTTTTTTCTAGCATAAGCCGGTTAACGAGTAGGCGGATCACCTGATGGTAAGCAATCGGCGCAGCTCATGGACACCCGAAATACCAAGACGTTACAAGTGTGTTACCGGCCTTTTGGGAATTTGAGGATTGTGGAGGATTCGGGGATTCGGGAGACTTGGGAGGGGGGTAATTAGGCCTCCGGTAACCTTACTTACACGACGAAACACAACGCAAGCGTTGTTTCACGTCGGTTTTCTATGAGGCCGTGGTATCACTCCGGTCGCGCCGGCCCTTTTGTGCCGAAGCATTGTTCTCCCACACTTAAATATATATAACTTAGTATATAGGTTGCAAAATGGTAGTTTTACTGCCTCATTGGACGTGTAGTTGCGAGTGCAAGCAAAGCTAGGGGTCTCAGGTTCGTGATACTTATAATAGGTTTTTTAAAATACAGCTATCTGCCTCGCTGACCGAATGGTGGCAAAGTGGGTCTCGGGTCGGGCAAAGTATTATTAGGATTTTAAAAATTTCTCAGTATTATTTAAATATGGCAATAGACTAACCCTCTATTACATGGGACTCGTAGGTAATATAAATAGTAAAAATGTGTGTTGCATTATATAGTGGCATCAATTGCCGTAATGTGCAGCTCTGCCTACCCCTTTGGGGATAAAAGGCATGATTTTGTGCTATGTTATTCTTTTTTTATTTAGGTACAATACGATATGGAATCTGAACTTGAACTAAATTACAATAATAAACATAAAAGTGTAACATCAAAAATGCTTATCACTTTGAAGAACAAAAATATTTACTTCATACAAGTCTCCATTAATTCCAAAACTCTCCCAATATCTTGTCAGCGCAGCACAGTAATAAAACTGAGCTACAATAAACCTCTTTACATAATTAGTGACTTAACCGGAGTCTTACAATCTTACAATCGCAATTCTTAATCGTTCCGCTTAATCGCAACGTTGCAAGACAACACTACAGTCACTCATTCACGTCAGTTAACACATATAACATTTACTACATCTTTTTTTTAAGGTGGAAAATCATCCAGTGATTTCTCCTGCCTTGAGTGAGGCGAGGGGTGTTACTAGTGTCGGACTCTTACTGACTAAAAACCACCCTGTTCCGACTTCTGCTTCGAGTCGGAGCCTTGATAATCTGCTAGGTCGACCGCAGCCTCGGGTCAGGCCTCAGTTCAGTTGCCATCACCATAGTAAAAACTTTTTTGCTACGACTTTACTCATCTACATATGTCTTACTTCAATCGTCTAACTGCATGTATGCAGAAGTTCAAGAGGATTGGTTTAGAAGATAAAGCGTAAAGAGGTGACCCAACCAACTTACATAGCCATAGAAATTCTTGACTTATAGCAGTAACTATGGCAACCACTTATAACATAAATGAAATCGTTAACAACTAATGTGAAATTTTTTCTTCAAAGAAATAGAGGTACATACGAAAATTGCTCAATTTTTCATTGTCAGTATTAAAACTATTTATTTTGTTTCATTATTAAAGGAATTGTCTTGATTTTTGAAATTCGTACTCGAATTGGAATTTGGAATTTGGCATTGTGTAGATATAATGCAATAGGCTCACACCGTATTACAATTCTTAAAACAATCGGCATAAAGTAGGTATTGCATTCGTTAAATGCATTGGGCTTCTCTGCTTGCTCCATTCCAGGAATAAAAACATTTAGTTCTAGACGTATGCTTCAACAAGTCAATTAAATTCAATCACAATACACGTTCGAACAATTCTATCAAAATTCAAATTCACGTTGCTCAATAATTGTTGACAAATGGACCTTAGTCGCAGAATGCGATCCGCCTTGCAAAACCCGACTAACCCTTTCGAAAAGAACTTGAACCGCTAAAATAGCTTATAGTCATAGAGCCCTTCTCAACTTAGCCGTGTAACAATCGCTTACCTTTACAAAATCAGCTATACGAGGTCCGAGCATTTATCCAATCATTAATTTCAAGCACTGAGTTAAATTGTAACTTATTACAAAAACCTTTTTATTTATTCACGCCAAAAAATCGTTGGGCACAATTGTGTAACACTGTTTCCGAACGCACGGCGATATTTTGCAATAATTCAAGAGGACGATACGTCCACACCCCGCGACGTCTCACGCATAACTGGCGGTTTGAGAGCGGAAACTTGTTCGGCGAGTCTGCGCCCGCGCACCGAGCGGATGGTCCGGTTTACGCTTGCGTTTAGTTACCTAGCCTTTTGTCATATGAATAAATTGGTATCGGATAAATAAAATTATGTAATATTTTGTGTGATGAGTGACGCTTTGGTTTACATTTGAGGATCGTGAAAGCGGAAAACGTGAATTTTGTTTCTTTACTTTTAAAAATAATTCTTTGATATTATTGTGTTAGTTTGTTTAGTGTTAGACAGTAAGATTGTGTCTCGCGACTGTACTTGTGCGTTTTAGGACGGCTTATGTCCTTGGTTGGGATATTTTGCATCGGCTCTGCATAATAGCTTATTGCTCGGGATTTGTAAACTAGTTTTAAAGTGAATTACCACTTATAGGCCATTGCTGTTACGTGCTCTGAGTTCGACCTCTATTGTTATATGAATAGGTATTAAGTAGATACTACTTTCCATATAAAGCGCTTAAATGTTTCACGTAGATGGTAGAGGGTGCCTTAGACGGAGATAATAGTGACCAGATTGGCGATACATTAAAGAAGGGCCAAATTAAAGTACCCTTAACCGACGAGCATGCATGAAAAGATTGATGACTGTTGATGAAGCGAAAGAGGTATGTAGAAATCGGAGTAATTGGCGTTCCATAGTCTCTACCTACCCCCATAGGAGACAGGCGTGTAGTTATATATATATATGTATGCTTTAAGCATTGGACATTTTTGTTGTAATTAAAATAGTACAGTTGCATTAAATAGGCAAGCAATGACTACCAATATGGAGTAAACCGGAGTCCACGTCATGGACGTGGACCATTCATAAGAATTTTTTGCCATAATCTACACGCTAGACAGGCAAGTTAAAAATCGCAGTCTGAAAAGTTAAGACAAATGACAAAACTCTGCTGCCCAGTCTCTGCCAAATACATAACTTTTTAAGGGGTAAAAATCTTCGAATGACTCCTCCCGCCTAAGTGAATCCCCATCGATCCTCAAACTCCTAATCCCCAATAAGCCGGTAACGCACTTGTAACGCCTCTGATGTTCCAGGTGTCCATGGGCGACACCGATTCCTTACCATCAGGGGATCCGTCTGCTCGTTTACCGGCTTATGCCATAAAAAAGTGAGTGAAGAAGGGAGTGAAAATACATACTTAGTAATCACTTTTAGTTGGCTCTTACAACATCCTCAAGAAGATTGCCTAAAGGCGGCGACAATTAAAGTAATCTCGTTGATGTCCATCACCAGACAGCGGCTGTAAAATACAGAAACACATAATTATAAAATGTTAAACTAGAGGTATGTGGCACAGGCAATTCACATTAACTCGTTGAGTGCCGTCAATATAGACACAATTAAAGAACAATAGGTTGCGGTCACCGGTGACCGCTCGGTGTTTGACAGTTTAAACCCTTTATTATAAGGAGTACATACAAACGTCTTATAAAAACAAAACAGTAAATATTGCTTTCTATTTTGTTATTATCCAATGAAAGCACGGCTCGTCACGGGTTGAACATAATTTCTGCAACACACTAGTAGGGACACCATCGTGTTTTGTGATTTGGGGAATATTTCTTTGTAATTTAATATATACGTCAGTTGTGAATATTACGGCAAATATTTCCTATGTATAATGAGGATCACAGTTCAGTAGTAAAATTTTATTACAATAGGGTAGATGACTGATTTATATTTCAATGTCCGTCTTATAGATTGTTTTAAAATATTTAACACGTATTTTTTTAATTTCTTACAGAAACAAATACTTTCGACTATATATTGATTTGTAACATCAGATGACGTCACTTCTAGGGACGTTTTATGCGTAGAAATTACGTTTTAGCTCCCACTCCTAAACTTTGATTCGATTTGTCTAAGTTTTGTAACATTATACAACAAAATAGAAAAATACATATCTAATATTTTTTCATTATCTAAGTGACGATGGACTAGTTAGTCATCATCCCTATTGACATTATAATGTTATTGCGTTAGCATTAATTTGTGAAAAGAATTCAGCAATCATCACTTTTTCCAATAATCACATTACATTATTGTGATGGTAATACAGCATTCAACAAAAATATGACAGTAAAAATATTTTCCGATAGTTAAAGCATATAAATTAGCATTCACATTGCACTAACTTAACTCTATAACAAAGCAAGATACCATCCACGAAGTCATCAAATCTTACAACAAAAAAATCTAACAAAAATTCCGTAAAAATCCAAACTCATGCGACTCCTACCATGCGAATACCACACTAGGTATAATTAAAAGTAAAAAAAGTGTTGCAGCATTATATAACAGTTATATATGTGCTATATGTAACTCGTTAGTTAAATAACGAGAAATTATGAGGAATATTCATGAAAAACAAGAATTGCTATGTTACTGTACTTACGTCACTCGAATACTGAGTTGAATAATTTCGTTCACATTTATTACGTCGAAGTGAAAAAAATGTTTATACATATATTAAATTACGGCTTCAAATCCTGAAAGACATAGACAGAGGGCCACTTTGTTTTTTTTTATTGCATAAGCTGGTAAACGAGCACACGGATCACCTGATGGTAAGCAATCGGTGTCGCCCATGGACACCTGGAACACCAGAGGCGTTACAAGTGCGTTACCGGCCTTTTGGAGATTGGGAGTTTGAGGATCGTTAGTGATTCAGGAATTGGGAAGATTAGGGAAGGGGAGGGTAATTGGGCCTCCGTATATAACCACTTTTCAGTTTTTTTTCAGTCCTCTGTCCTATATGTAATGTTCTATTCTGGATCTTCTTATACAGTAAAGAATCGGATCCAAAACCTTGCTTAGCAGTCGCTTGCTGGTTGTTTTATCATTGAACCGAGTTAGTTGACCAGAACCACGAAATTACCTCACTGAATATTAAACTGTCAAACACCAAGCGGTCACCGGTGACCGCAACCTATTGTTCTATAATTGTGTCTGCAAAACCGGTACTCGACGAGTTAAGCTAACTTCAATAATTTTGTTGTTTACACTTAGTATATTATGTCAAAATTAAAAACGTGTTCAGTTGTTCGATAAGTTGTTTTTGGTATGTGCTTGTAAGTGTATGTTTTTCTTTTCACTTTCTACTGCATTTTTACTTGGATCTACCAATTAGTCTTACAGATTTTGGTGTGTTTTCTCAGTTATATTTTTTTTATTTGGAGTTATCTCACTTGTTAATCTGGTTTATTTTTTCTGGTTTATTCGATTTTAAAATTAGTTTGTATAGTCGATAACGTAATTTTTCATGTGTATCACTTTTATTAAAAATTCTTAGCTGATGTATAACATGCCTACAATAAAGTTTATGTGGAAAGTTGACAATTAATTAGTAATCTTTCATACATTTCTGCTTGTACTAGTTCAATGCATAACAGAGGAGTGAGTTTAGCTATTTATATACTACTACATATTTACTGATATACGTTGAAGTACGAACAAGTAAGAACATAAACATGTAACTAAATATTGTTTATGTTTTGAAAACAAAAAATATTTTTAAAGTAATCGCGTCACAAAAATATGCAACATTTCAACTGAAATTATATTTTACAGAAGAATAATTTTCATGGATGCTTGCACTTAAGGTTTTTTCGACTTTCGCAATTAAACCCGTTATAAACAGTTTTTAATTAGCACAATCACGATAAAAACGTAATTATTTTTAGACAATTTATCAAAGGCTTATTAGCATAAACTGGCTGACTGAAATGGAAGTGCTAATCGATTTTAATCACTTTTATTACCCACCATGTAGTTAAAAGGTGTCTATTACAACACGCTATATAAAATTTTTAGACTAGATTTGTATTATATTGAAAACTTTATAGTAAAGAACACAATGCATTCACGGTTTTGTTTCTCGAAGAAGTAAGGAGTTTGCCAGATATCCTATAAGTTACATAAATATTGGTCTAGGTGTCATGTAGAGCCAAGTCTATAGATAAATATTGTGGGAGACCCATGCTTCGGCACGAATGGGTCGGCTCGACATGAGTGATACTACGGCCTCACAGAAATCCGACGTGAAACAACGTTTGTCATGTGATTAAGATTACCGGAATAACGCCTCTGGTGTTCCAGATATCCATGGGCGGTGGTGAAGTGCTTACCATCAGGTGATCCGTCAGCAAGTTTACCGACTTATCCCATAAAAAAATATAAGCATTTTTTGAAGAGGGTGGGTAAATTAGAGAGAGAGAGAGAGTCAGACTCTTATTGGCTAAAAACCACCACGTTCCTACTCCTGCTTTGTGTAAACTGCCCCAATTAGTATTTTTTAAATCAAAAATCAATAAAAATTTGCTCAGCTTGGTCAGATCACTAACTTACGGCAGTAGCAACTAATAACAAAGAAAAAGTAAAAAACTTAACAGCAAAAAATAACTACTATTAGTACTGATAGCCGATAGGTTAGAAGACGTCGTGAGAAGACCTCCTACTTTTTTTGAAGTCGGTAAAAAATTTATGGACTGTTTGATGGTAAACGATTTCTTCAGAAAGAACTATAAAGTGTTACGTTGTCCTGTATCGAAACGATATTAGTAGCATTACAAAGTGAAACTTGCGCCGGCGCATGCAGTGAACGAAAGCGTTAGTTATTAAACCACGGGCTTCTGCTGATACCGTGAGCTACATAGATGTATGGTGCTGGATGTAGTACTTAAGAAAAAAGTTAAAAGGCACTAATATATTATGTTTGATGGGCCGACGTTTGGCCACTATCTCGCCTGCTGGTAAGATTTAAAGATTTCTACTTTTATGGCTTTTTCAAACGAAATATCCCAATATGAGATAACACAACGTCACGTTTTTAATCCCCAAACGGGGAAGCTAAGTCGCACATATATAATGTTACCAACAACATCAACTTTTGCCCGTTAAATTATAAATCTCGTATATTAGGGAGAGTATCTATATATATCACCATATACCAAGACGATTTCAAATATATATCTACTGCTATTACTAAGATATGTCCGAAAAATCAATAAAAATCTTCAACAATACTTTGCTGACCTAGGAATAATGACGAATTATCATTTTATAATGTTCGTCTGGTAGATTATTTAAAAACATTAGTCACGTTATTTTTATTTTCTTACGGAAACGAATAGTTTCGAAGATATAATGATTTGAAATATCTCATGACGTCTTTTGAGTACGATTTATACTCTAAATTTCTAAAATGACGTAGCTACGAACGTTTACGTTTTATCTAAGTACTGTTTTCTTATACAACAAAAAAAATATGTGTCTAATATTTTTTATTACCGACTGACAGACTAATTAGATTTTAAAGAAACTGAATTATAACAAGAGAGAGAAGTGTCAATTACCCATTCGTGTTTCTAAAACGCGGGTCCACGAGACACAATGTATGTTATATTATGCCTCATATGAAAGAAAGAAAATCCATTTATTTCACCACAACACACACATAGACAAGAATACAGGTACACACACAAAATATCAGTGCATTCGAGTTGTTAAATAAAATTCTTCTATGAATTCTACATCTTTGTAATTTTGTATGTAAGTTTCACTTGCAAGTGCATCACGGTGTTATATTAGATCGTAAATTGGAAAATCGACCACAATCTGTGGTTTATGTGACACTACTTGTTACTGTGTTAGTGATAGATGTAGAAAAATATCGTTTATAAATCGAAATACATCGTCAAGTGGCAAGTAACACTACATAGTAGGTATAAAACAAAGTCGCTATACGCTGTCTGTCTGTCCCTATGTATGTTTAGATCTTTAAAACTACGCAACGGATTTTGATGCCGTTATTTTAATAGATAGAGTGATTCTTAAAGAAGGTTTGTATGTATAATTCATGCATATTGTACCCGTGTGAAGCCGAGGCGATTCGCTAGTTAAGTATAAGAAGTATTAAATGAAGAAGTTATCATATTTTTACGGCCCCGAGGTTTAAGACGCCCGCTTACCATGCACGAGGGTGCGGTGTCGAAATCTACCAACGACAAAGTAGCAATGTAAGTTTTTCTGAGTTATATGTACTACTTTCAAATATTATTTAGACATCACTGACAAACTGTGAAGAAATATAGCGAGAAAACTTCAGTTTATACTTTAAAATTATAAGTTTGAAATCGTCAACCCGCATTAAGCAAGCGTGGTGATTAATGTTCAAAGCTTCTCCGTGTGTGAAGACTAGAGGTCTAGAGGCCTTTGGTCAGCAGTGGCCGCTTATGGGCATAACGATGACTATGAAGTTATAAGTAAACTCTAAAACTCTGCTAGATGAAATAACGACGTGGTCTAACTACAAATTATTTTACTTCATACAAAAGACATCAACGAGTAACTGTTATGACAGCGCCTCTAGCGGCAAAATATATTAACTGTACCGCGCCATCTAGTATCGAGTAGAAACAACTATTCTACATTCCTGTGCACGTAAATTGTTACAAAACTAGTTCATAATTTAATTTTGTCTTATTTCTTAGCAATCATGTAAGTTTTCAATATTACACAATACTGCCTATTTAGTTATATGATATTCTCACAAAAGAGAACACTATTTTCATTAATGCCTTATTGCCTTTATATTTTTATCCTTCTTGACGAGGTAAAACTTGGACGTTAATGCATAAGACGAAACGTATAAAGGTAGCTGTCATTGTTGTCATAACAACTGCATTTATTTTGTGTTTTGATCGAAATATAAACGTTTTCAATCAAATAATATCATTACAGAAAACTATGTCGGATATTGCAAAAACTAGTAAAAATGAAGACACGGCCAATAACAACACTACTACTGAACCGAAACCAGCAGATGACAAACAAATTAAACTAAATAACACGTTAAAAGACAAACTTCGGAAATACATCAAAAAGTTGGACGGTAAAAGAACCTTATTTCACTTGAGGACGTGATACACATTACTATATATTATATTATATAGTTTTTCCCGCTACGACATGAAATAATGCAATAAAAATTAGAATTTGACTATCGTTATGTCAATATTTCCTGAAGGGTATAACCTGGGTGTCTTCAAGGCCCGAGTGAAGAGGTTGCTTATGGGACGACGTGCTCCTTCGTAGACCACATCATCGCTTACCACCAGGCGAGACAGTGGTAGAATACAAAAAAAAATAGTCCCACAACAACCAACAACACCGGTTGTGATGTGCAACTTCTTTCTCGTAGTCAAATTAGGTTTTTGGGCTTGACTCTAAATTTTAGATATATTTTGACAGATATTGTAAGACTAGTATCCATAAGAGTATCAAAATTCAGTAAATAAAACATTGTTTTCGCTAATAAGTCAGAAGACTGATTTCGCCTAGCTTCACCTAATTTCACTGACGGACTGACTGACAGACTATTATTTATTTTGTATTTGTTGACGTTTCAAAAGTACTAAACTATGGTTTAATTGAAATAAATGCTTTGACTTTGACAACACAAACTAACTAACTACTTACACCTTAAACCCACAGAAACTGCCACAAGCATAACAAAAGAAGAAAGCATAAAACTAGAAGTTGACACATTCAAACAATTATACAAGCCTAAGCTAGCGGGCAAAGAGGACTCGTACAAAAACATACCAAAATTCTACTTCAAATTACCGAAACCTGATGACACACTCGCTCAGAAACTTAGAGAGGAGACGAGAGCACAATTTTTACAGAAAAAGAGCAAAGAACTGCTTGATAATAGTGAATTGAAGCATCTATGGAGTTTGTTGGAGAAGACCAATGGGAGCTACAATGTGACTAACAATGATGAGTTAATAATTGACTATTTTCAATTTAAGAAGATCAGGGATGAAGCGGGGCCTAAATATAAGTGAGTATTTGCTTTGTTAATTCAAATTCTGGACTATTTGTGTGTAGATTTAATACATACATAGATTTTTAAGGGCCGAAAAAAAACATCGTTCCTACTCATGCATTTCGAGCCTGAGTCCGGTAACCTGTTAGGTTCTCCGCAGCTCCGTATCGGTATCAGCCTTTTATTATTGTCTAGTCCAATATTTCCCAAAGTGGACAATAATGCCACCCTGTAGGCGCAGGAGACCTCCAGGGGATGGGACCAAAATAACTGATTTTCGAAGTGGGTGTTAGACTAAATAAGTTTGGCAACCTCTGGTCTAATCTCTAGTAAATATATGGAGAAGTTTATGTTAGAGGAATAACCAACTGAATCTTAAGTTTTAAAAATGTAAATAACAATAAAAGGGGTCTTTTATATTCGAGTTAAGTAAGCAATGAAATTAAGAGCCTTTACTTAACTAGTAAGTGTTGTTATTCGAATTAAATAAACATTAAATAATAATAAATATTTTCTTTATTTCTCCTCACTAACACATTTATCCTCACTAACACAATTTTTTTTATAATCTAGTTTTTATGGCAATGTGAGGAGCTGGAATCTGTGTTACGAGTAAAATACCTGTATTACAAATCTTCAAATAAACATTTAAACTAACAAGTAATAATCTGCCATCTGGCATTTAAACTTTCTTTCAATCTTTGTTCAATACTTAATGTCCAACTACAAATCTATTACAACCTCCTCCATGTTCAAGACTGGCTCTGTTTCAGACCATATTTCACAGCAGAAGTATTTGGTCGTCTACAAGCAGCTGAGGGCGGTGTCGGTCGGGTGCGAGCGGTGTCACTGTTTAATTATGTGATGCGCAGAGTGTGGCTGCAGCAGACGAGGATCGGACTGTCCTTGTATGATGTCACGGGGCAGGGGTACCTGACTGAACATGTGAGTTGTATGATAAATTAATTAAAAAGTATTTTTAATTACAATAGACTCACCCCCTATTACATGGGGCTCATAAGATAAATAGTAAAAAATGGATGTTACATTGTACAGTGGCATTAAGTGCCGTGATGTGCCTACCCCTTTGGGAATGTCGCGGAGAACCTAACGGGTAACCGGGGCTCCGGCTCGACGTGCAGGAGAAGGAACGGGGTGGTTTTTAGTCAGTAAGAGTCTGACTCTCCCTCCCGCCTCACCCAGGCGGGAGCAGTCATTCGATGATTTTCCCCCCTTAAAAAAAAAAAAAAAACCCTTTGGGAATAAAAGGCGTGATGTTATGTGTTTTAATTAAACAATTTGTTTACATTAACTGGTGTAAGTCTACCTACACTAGAACGATACAATAGGTTTACCATTAGCAGTTCCAACTCTTTTGAGTTAAAGATGATAAAAGCATTGTAGATCAAATCAATTCAATTACCTAGTTGAATCGCGTCAACCACTACATTTCTCTGCGCTTCCCTATAGTTGACTATTAGAGAATGCCTTAGACATTAAGTACATAAATATAATATAACATCACGTCTTTTACGGTCTTTTATCCTCGAAGGGGTAGGGCAGAATTGCACATTACGGCAATTAATGCCATTGTACAATGGACCACCCACTTTTTCACTATTTATGAGTCCCATGTTAGTGAGCGTATTGCCATATACCGGGCACAATTCCAGACTCCTTGCTACTACCGAGATTTTTTTAAAACCCAGTAAGACGCTGCCCGACCCGGGAATCGAACCCGAGGCTACTTGCTCTGCAGTCGCGTTTGCGACCACTCAGCCCTTTGGCCGTCAATAAATAAATGTACTTTGCCTAAAACTAATTATCAATACCAACTTACCTTTCAACTTTATTGACAACGAATTATAAGAGTTACTGTCGATCGCAACCCTGTTGAAAGACATAAAAAAATAAACTTTGGTTACAATTGTTTTGCTTTAATACATTAAAATTTTATAGTGTAAAGTTCCACTACTGATGTATGTACAATAATTATATGTAACAAACTAACAACCGCTGAATATATTCTTCTAGGACCTAGAAAGCTACATAGCAGAGTTAGTACCGTCCCTGGCAGCGCTGGACGGACTGGACTCATCCTTCAGTTCATTCTATGTGTGCACGGCTGCCAGGAAGTTCCTGTTCTTCCTCGATCCACTGCGAGTGGGCAGGGTGAGGATAAGAGACGTGCTGTCCTGCTCCTTCCTTGATGATTTGTTAGAGGTGAGAAAGAGAAATATAATCTGATGGGTACACCAGTAATATAATTTCTTTCTTATTTTTCTATCCACTTTAAACCCTGACCTAGAACAACAATTACTATTGTGTAGCAAGTGGAATCGAATCAGTGATATGTTGCGTACAAATAGAAGAATAATCTTTATAATTTCCGTGGCCATCCCCACTAATGTAATGGTTCTCACCAACCACAGTAACGCCATTCTATTAACAATAGAAAACCACCCCCTAAACCCTATTTTAACTAGAAGTTAACTTAGCGTAAGGCATCACCTAAACTAACCCCTTATTTACCTTTAAGTATCATTATTATATAGTCGGCTGAAAGCTAAAATGTCTTCAACTGTTAATCTCAGCTGTAGGGTTTCATTAAATTAATTATTGTTATTGTTATTACATAATTACTTGACGAGGAACTCGACAGTGTAGCAGTGCGACAGTCGCCGCGTCGCGGGTCGCTGAATGCTGCTCATGAATAACTATGAGCGTCTATCATATCATTAAGTGTGGGAGAGCCATGCTTCGGCACGAATGGGCCGGCTCGACCGGAGTGATACCACGGCCTCACAGAAAACCGACGTGAAGCAACGCTTGCCTTGTGTTTCGTCGTGTGAGTGAGGTTACCGGAGGCCCATTTACCCTCCCCTTCTCCAATCTCCCCAATCTCTGAATCCGCAACGATCTTCGAACTCCTAATCCCCAAAAGGCCGGTAACGCACTTGTAACACCTCTGGTGTTCCAGGTGTCCATGGGCGACGCCGATTGCTTACCATCAGGTGATCCGTCTGCTAGTTTACCGGCTTGTCATTAAAAAAAAATCATGGCTTGAAACTAGATCAGTTCCTCGTCAAATAATTACATGAATAAGCTGAAAAGCATTATAATTAATTTAGTGTGACTCCCAAAAGGGTTCATTATAATTTAATTTTAAAAGAAGTTGGTAGAAATGGGTATGGGACCTTCAATCACACTTTTGTTAATTCCAAGAGCACAGTGAACATAAAATATTCTAATAATATTCTAGCTCCGCGAAGAAGACTTGCCGATGGAGATTCAGGAACAGAATTGGTTCAGCGCGGCGTCAGCGCTGCGCGTATATGGACAGTATCTCAACTTGGATAGGGACCATAATGGCATGCTCAGTATCAATGAGTTGGCTGGGTAAGATCTTATTGTAATATTTATTTATAGTAATAGCCTAATAGTTTATGGATGATTGGTCACAAGTGTGGTTGCTGAACTAAGTAGATTTTAACCCTATCCTTTTACAATAAAGTTGAAAATCTATTGGACTGCTAGTTCTACGAGTTCTAGTACAATCAACAATACCTACTTAGAAAAATATTTGCCTAAATATGAAAATGCGAGTAATTGGTCGCCTTAGCAGTTAAGAGGAGACTATTGTTTAGTTCATGGTTTTATTGTTTGTGTGTTGACAGTGTTTTAGAGATAAAATTGTCATTTTGGAACAGGTTCATCTTAAAATTTAACATTCGAAATTCATCCCCTTAATTTGTTCATACAAAAGTAGTCTCTAAACATTGGAAATAAGGTCTATAATGTGTTAGTGGAGAGCGGTAACCGGTGACCGCTTGGGGGGATGTATGGGTTCAAATCAATCACTTTAAATTCTAATTCCATAAACAACTAATTAATCACTACAAAAAGAATAAAGTAATAATACTAATAATTCGTTTACCATCTTCCCTTCTAGCTACGGCTCCGGCACATTAACCCGAGCGTTTTTACAGCGTGTGTTCCAACAATGTCTGACTTACGACGGAGAGATGGATTACAAGACGTACCTAGACCTAGTTCTAGCGCTAGAGAACAGAAAGCAGCCGGCCGCCCTAGCGTACCTGTTTAGAGTACTAGATATTAACTGTGTCGGGTACCTTGATGCTTTTACCTTGAATTATTTTTTTAAGGTGAGTTGACCGTGTTGAAATGTCGTAATTTCATTATCGGTTTTTCTTTTCTTTTTTTAAAAACGTTGCCCTACACTAAGATTTTCTCCTGTGTCTTGTCATTGTGTGCATTTACAAATATACAAGTTCACATACACATGACACCCAGTTCTTGCGATGCGACGTCGCATCGCAGTTTTGTGTACGAGCCCTTACTCCTAAAAAGGGATATTAACTTAATATTTACTTGGTAAAATAATAATTACATTACCTTCAATCTTCCACAGGCAATACAAGAACAAATGATAGCTCACGGCGCGGAACCAGTCAACTTTGACGACGTGAAGGACGAAATATTCGACATGATCCGACCGGAGGACCCCACAAGGATCACCCTCCAGGATCTGATCCGCAGTGGCCATGGCCACACCGCGGTGTCCATACTGCTGGAGCTGCAAGGGTTCTGGGCATACGAGAACAGGGAGGCCCTCGCCGCCGCCGGGGACCACGCCTGACATACTGGACAACGACTCCAGTTCAATGGGGATCGGTTTAAAATATAGACGGTTTAAACAAAGTTACGAACAGTTTCGTGATGGACTCTAAATTATTTATTGGATTGTTACCATTAATAGTGATTGATGAGAAAGAATTAATGTAAAAATTAGTAAAGTGTGTGAATTTGAAAAAAAACGAAAATTCGTGGAACCTGCGATTTCCAGTTTGTAGGCTTGTCTAGGCATTTAAAAATAAATAGCAAATTTGAGAATAACTGGACCACTTTGCTAGTTTTGATTTTACCACTGAAAATTTATGGTGCTATTACCACTGAAAATTTTATACTATTAAATAAAGCGGAAAAATTTGTTTTTTTGTTTGAACGCGCTAATCTCCGTAACTACAAGTCTGATTTGAATAATTATTTTTGGGTTGGATAGTGCATTTATCGAGGATGGCTATAGGCTATAAAGCACCACGCTACGACCAATAGGAGCTGAACAGAGCGTGTGAAATCGCGCGGAAGTAGCGAGTGTATCTATATAAATAAAAACGGCTGAACCTTTTTGGCTAGTTTTGGTCTTGAAATGTCCGTGGACGTCCAGGGAAGGTCTAACCGGTTGAATGCGTCGCGGAGAACCTAACGGGTAACCGGGGCTCCGGCTCGACGTGCAGGAGAAGGAACGGGGTGGTTTTTAGTCGGTAAGAGTCTGACACTCCCTCCCGCCTCACCCAGGCGGGGGCAGTCATTCGATGATTTTCCCCCCTTAAAAAAAAAAACCGGTTGAATGCCTGTATATGAGACACAATAGATAATACATTGTGTCTCGCGTGGGTCCACGTTTAGACACACGACGGGCGGAAAAAAATTAGGCGGATCAAAGTTTGCCTTATTCTGGAAATAGTGTATGTTATGTTTGTTTGTGTGTCTGTCTACCCTTGCGGGGATAAGTACTTTTTGTGTGTGTTTATGTGATTGTCTAAAGCAGGGTGAAAATTGTTGAATTTTGTAATGTTATTTAAATTCTAATATCGATATTAGCTAGGTCTAGAAAGTAAACATTTTTTATGGGATAAGCCGGTACACGAGCAGACGGATCACCTGATGGTAAGCAATCGGCGTCGCCCATAAACACCTGGAACACCAGAGGTGTTGCAAGTGCGTTACCGGCCTTTTAGGGATTAGGAATTTGATGATTCAAGGATTGGGGAGACTGGGGAAGGATAATTGGTCCATTACATTGTCAAATTGTATTTATAAAAATAAAACAATATTTGGATAAAAATAATAATTATATTATACTTAACATTGAAAATATATAACATTCTGTATATAAAATGAAATAACAACATGATTCTCTTCGTAAATATAAACATTAATACATATGATGTATAATTATTTGGTTTTTTATTGTTGTACTTAATTAATTCCTTAATACTTATGTCTAAGTTGCAAATATTATTATACTACTGAAACTTGACTGCTAGCAAGAAGCTCGGGATCGAGGCGGTTGTTGTTTTTATTTTCGTTTACGAATTCATGGCAGCTTAGAGAGAGTATCTAGTCTTTATGAAGACTTGCTCTATGAAAATGGTAACAATAATATGACTACTGCCTATCCATAACATAACAGCACGCCTTTTTATCCCCGAAGGGGTAGGCAGAGGTGCACATTGCGGCACTTAGTGCCACTGTACAATGTAACACCAACTTTCACTATTTATGTTATGAGTCCCATGTAGGTGAGCCTATTGCCATATACCGGGCACAATTCCAGACTCTGATATTTTTAAAACCCAGTAATACTTTGCCTGTCCCGGGAATCGAACCCAAGACCCCTTGCCCGGCAGTCGCACTTGGAACCACTCGGCCAATGACGCAATCTGTCCTGCTATCCTGCCTATCCATTTGATGGATAAAGAGCGTAACTTTTAGAGTAAAGTAAAAATTTGATTCTGTGGAGCTGAATACTTTAAATGCATCTGTAATATATGAATAATGGATTTTGATCTTTGTACTATAACAATTAAGGGTTAAGGCACGATTTCCCCTACACAGACTCCTGCGCAGCTCTGTATTCGTACACGCTGCCTCGTTCTAGGAAGGCGCTGGGTTTGCTTCCTTCTTGGTCTCCTTCGGAAGCATCTGAAGCTGGTCCATAGCCACCGCCTCCAGGAGAGTTCATTATGTATTTATCCTAAAAACAAAAAAAAGTTTGTTTCCAACTTTGGTTCAATTTATGTTTTGTCGAGTGCAAATAATTGTTTGTCTACGTCTGGTGTACTTCAAACACACTACAAGTCATGTCTAGGAAATATCTATACATATAATAAAATCGTAGGAAAGTCAAAACTGTACATTGATTTTTTTACAGATTACTTGAATGTCATCTATAATCGAAGGCTAAGCCAAAAACATAGTTTTTAGAACTTTTATTTTGTCTGTATGTATGTCCGGGTAAACTCAAAAAGCTGCATGGATTTACTTTAAATTTTACATGAATATTACTAACAGGTCAGGTCAACATATAGGCTACGTAATATCATGCTGTAAAGAACTATCCAAAGTCACTTTTACTCAAGGACGAAGTAGCGGTCTCAGCTATTATAGAATGTATAATAGTGTATTTTTCCAAATCCCAAACTTACATCACGAAACCACATCTTTACGTCGTAAAACAAAACAAATGTAAAGATTTTAACTTCAATCTTACCCCAGGGTACGCCTGTACAGAAGCCTTGCCCCCCAGGTTGATGAGTCGTCCGTCCACACGTTGTAACAAGTTCAAACCACGCGCCCCCGCCTCGCCACCTGAAAAGCAACAGTAATAAAATACACTATTGAGATATGAAAAAAATCATACTATCACATAATACAATATTAATAGGGTTTTCTAGTTCTCTTTCTTTTCTAGAATTAAAACCTGTATCTCATGCTCATATATTTTGACATTTATCATCATCAACAGCCTATAAGTTGTCGCTGATGATCAAAGATCTCACTCTCTCTCTCTCGTCTCTCACTCGGAGAATGTTTGATCATTAATCACCACACTCAATGCGCGTTGGTGATTTTAATCTTTCAATTAGGAATTATAAACCCAGGTTTACTCACGATGTTATCTTTCACCGTTTGCCGGTGGAGTCTAGATAATGTTTTGAAATTGATTTAGATATTTTAGCATTAACTGCAACATATAGACGTACCATTCATCCCGTACGGTTGGAAGGCTCGTCTCTCAGTGAGGACAGAGAGCTGCACGGTGCGACGGAACACTAACTCCCTGATCACACCGTCACCGCCTCGCCAACGACCTGCGAATTTAGTTTTTATAGAATAAGGCGGTAAATGAGAAGACGGATCACCTGATGGTAAGCTGGCGTCGCCCATGGACACCTGGAACACCAGAGGCGTTACAAGTGCGTTACCGGACTTTTGGGGATTAGGAATTTAGTGTTCCAGGTGTGGTGCGGTGAATCCGCAAGGGCGTCCCGGGTCACAGCGACAGGCAGAGGAGGAACACCGCGGTGGTTTTAGCCGGTAAGAGTCCGGCACACCCACCTCCCCCGTCGTCCCCACGGCGTGGGAAGTCAATGAGGATATATATTGTGTTACAAAAAAGAGGCGTTACAAGTGCGTTACCGGCCTTTCCGGGATTAGGAATTTGAGGATTGTTGGGGATTCAGGGATTGGGGAAAGAGGGGGAGATAGTATGGCCTCTGGTAACCTCACGCACACGATGAAACACAACGATATCCCCATAAAGAAAAAGAATACTTCAATACCCCTGCCTCTTACTAGTATCCACTAAAACCCTAATAATTACATCTTACATACCTCTCCCTCCAGATCCAGGTCTGAGTGAGAACCTGGTGACCAGCATGGGATACCGTCGCTCCACTATCTCCACGTCAGTGATGCGAGTGTTCGTCATGTGTGTGTGTACTCCTCCTGAACCTTGCCAGCCGGGACCCTGCCAAGAAGGACAAAATTCATGCCAAAATCGGGTACTTGAAGTCAAATTCAATACTTTTTTCGAACTGTCAAAAAAGACAGTTTTCTATGAATTTTGTAGGAGATTGTGTATTGTGACGTCACGTTTTTTTAACGCCAAACAGTATAATTATTTCGTAAAAATTTGCTGGAAAAATATTAAGATTAAGTTGGTCATAAAATCAATAGAGGTAAATGAAAAAGTGATTATTTTTTAATATTCTATTGTATTGAACGATCGAAATAAATTATTTTAGATAAAGGAAAGTACCCAATTGGTAAGTTAACTGACGCCATTACTTACAGTAATTAAAAGTAAGTTTCCAAGAATGTTTCCGAAAAATACACAAAAATATATTATAAACAAGATGTACGAGATCATCTCCCAACAAGGATTCCGTACATTTACTTTTAGTGCAAATAGAATACATATATTTTTACATTCATCGTCATAAATAAAAGTTCCTGAAGAAGTTAGTAGTGGTACACTCAATTTTCGCTACTTATGTTTTTAGAGCCACTAATTACAGTTATTACTTAACACTCTTCACTTTTTTATCATTAAAATACTATAAAATAATCTTATAGATGGGGGTCCCTAAAGTCGACGATCAAATGGCGCCAGGTGATCGGCAAGGTTTCAACATTTATCAGAAAAATATGAAAAGAAAATCAAAGTCAGATAGTTTTTCACTCAAACATCACGCTGAAGCCAATAGGAGTCGACCAGAACGTAAGAAGCTAATAATATGTTATTTTATTTTATTTTATTTATTTTCAGCCATGATCGTCCCACTGCAGGGCAAAGGCCTCCCTACCCTCCTTCCACTCCTCTCTATGTAAAGCTTTTTGCGGCCAATCCTTGTCATAGATGTCTAGTTCGTCCCGCCATCTCCTTTTGGGCCTGCCGCGACGTCTACTGACGTTGAGTGGGCTCCACTCAGTAGTAAGTTTTGCCCACCGCTCATGTGACATGCGGCAGACATGACCAGCCCAGTTCCACTTCAAGCCTGCGGCTTTATGGCCAACGTCAACGATTTTAGATGTGGAGCGCAGCGTGGTGTTCCTAATTCTGTCCAAATTAGGAACCCCCTCCCCTAATAATATGTTATATTAAATATTATTGTAAATTTTTTTTTTGGTAGTTTATTTGAATGTTACACATAAATTTTAATAATGTACCTCCTTTTGTATAAAGTAATTTTATTTTGACATCTACTTTTAATGACATTTTTTTCACTTAATATGACATATCTTGTTTTATAATTTTAATTATTATAACTTCCGTGTAAAAGATTTGCACGCTCGAATAGGGGGCAGAATAAGAGGGACTATAATTATAATGTGACCACTGTATATATGTACCTTGTTCGAGCAAATAAATTATTTTTTATTTAGACTG